CTGTTTTTTTCATTTCTCTTTTTTTCCTAGTTTTTTTTTTTTTTTTAACTCTTTTTCCATCATACCCTTTCTCATCACCTACTCTACCGCTTCCACTTCCGTGAAATCGCTTGAAGAAGAGACTCTCTTACTCTCGTGACACTTTTCTATCTTTTTCTTTCTTTTTTTCTTTTTTCTTTTTTTTTTTTTTTTTCATTCGCGTCTTTCAGACTTTCGACAGTAGTTTATCAGGTCGCTTGACAAACTCTTTTTCCAACTTGTCGTCGTAGTCGTCTCGTTGGCAATACTTTTGCCATCCACGGCGTGTCACCCACTACGCTTTTTCTTTTTTTTTTTCTTTTCCCTATTCAATGTAGGTATGTGTATGTGTGGAGGTGGGGGGGGGGAGAGAAGGGGATCTGACTTTTTAGTCCGACCAATGGTCGTTTACCTTTCTCTCGAATTTTGTCGATGAAATACTTAAAAAGATGTTTGTCCAATTTCCTTTCGTCATTGTCGATACTGGCGTTGTTTTTCTTTTCCTTTTTTTAATTTTTATTATTGTTGTTGTTGGTTTGTTGGTTGATTGGTTGGTTGGTTGGGTCGATGAATAGTCGATAAAACGTTTACCTAATTTATTTTCTTACTTAAACTCCCTTTTTTTTTTTATTGCGCTAAACTTTAAATTAATGCTCTTATGTTAAACTTCTTTATTTTGACTTCATTTTATTGAAAATACTTGTTTTATTATATATATATATATGTATGTATATGTGTGTATGTGTGTGTGCGTGTGTGTGTATGGGTATATAATCTTGATAAAAGTATAGTTTCGTAGGATCGATAATATCTCGCAAATCGTTGCTAGGAAGAGAAAAGTAATTCTTCATTTTTATTTTCATTTTATTTTTCTTAGGTTATGTTTTATCAGAGAAATGTTTCATAAAAATTTCTTCAACAAATTGTTGAAATTAGTTCTTAGACAAGTAGATTATTCTTTTAATAACTCCATTGATGTAGTATTTTTTTTTTTAATTTAATTATTATTTATTAATTATTATATTATTTTATATTAATAACAAATTGTTTAAACTTGTTTGTTGAACAATTAAATGAATTATTTTGTTAATAACTCTCATCGATGTAGTATATTTTTATTTTAATTATTATATTATTTGTTATTTTTATTTTATATTAATAAGAAATTGTTTATAATTCTTACCAAACTTATAAACTTACTAAACTTTACCGGAATTATTTTTTTAATAACTCTCATCAAAGTAGTATCTTTTTTTATTATTAATTTTTATTATATTATTTTTTATTTTTATTTTATATTAATAACAAATTGTTTCAACTTGTTCTTCAATAACTAAATTACTCTTTTAATAATTCTCATCGATGAGGTATTTTTTTTTTATTTTTTTTTTTTATTTTTGTTATTCGAACTTTATCCGTAGTTTTAATCTTAAAAATGTTAAGAATCCAATAAGAAAACGATTAAACTATGTGGAAATTTATAATATATAATATATATATATAAAGATGGTTTGTAAGATTAAAAAACTTGAAAAATAATCTCTTGATATCAATTTTTTTCTTTCTTGTTTTACTTATCTTTCATCTTGTCTACGATTACCTTACTTCCTGTTTATTTTTATATTTTGTCTTATTTTTAAATTCTTCTTCATAAATTATTAATATTTTTTATTATTCTTATAGTAACATATTTTTAGAAAATTACTATTTTTTTATTATTATATTATTTTTCATTATATTTATATTATTTATATTTATTATATTATTATATTTACATTATTTTTTATTATATTGTCGTATAATAGAGGTTATGATAACGAGGTTATGTACATTTCCTTTCCTTTTTTTTTTTTTTT